TTCTCAGTGGTAGCTGGTGGCTAAGAATTTTGTACAGACCCTTGCCTCTGGTGAAGCAGGAAAGTTGATTTTCAGACATTCGTAACAATTTGGATTGTTGTATGATAGCTACTGATGCTGCATCAAACACAAGCTGCTGGGGCCCAGTGCGGTAGCCTAGCAGCAAAATTCTAACCTTGCACGGGCTGGGATCCCATATGGACACTGGCTCTAATCCTGGTGGCCCTGCTTCCCATCCAGTTCCCTGCTTGTGACCTGGGAAAGCAGTCAAGGACAGCCCAAAGCCTCAGGACCCAGCACCCGTGTGGGAGACCCAGAAGAGGTTCCGGCTCCTGGCTTTGGATTAGCTCAGTTTCAGCCATTGCAGTCACTTGGGGTGTGAACCATCAGACAGAAGATCTTCCTCCTAAGACAAAACAAAACCCACAAGCTGCTGCAGCCACTCTTTATGGACATATAGAACCTTCCTTGCAGTGAGGAGGCACAGGGGCCATCACAGTGGCAGTATCGCTATGAAGGACTGTGGCAAGTTTCATGAGTTGTCCAAATCTAAAACCGTATCTCTTCCAGGCCAAACACCTGTTTCCTTCCATGTTTTCCTAATTGTAACACCAACTTGTACACTTCTCAACTGACTCAATTTCACCAGACCAATCAAATTTCATGTGGTCATTTTCGAGGAGCTTTTAACATGAACAAAACTGTCCACCTGGGATGCAACAACATGGTCCCATCTCTGGAATGGCCATTTGCACAGGTACTGCTCTGGGTGTTTCAGTGCATGATCTTTCTGTCAGGGTGCAACCTTGCTCAGACTGTTAACGTAACACATGGACAGGAAAAAGTATTTTTCTTTTTAATTTTTTTTTTAAAACATGATTTATCTGAAAGGCAGAATGACACAGAAGGAGAGAACACAGATATTCCAACTGTTGATTCACTCCTCAAGCAGCTGCAACAGCCACGCAGAAGCCTGGAGACTAGAACTCCATCTGAACCTCGCCCATGGATGGCAGAGCTCAAGGATTTGGGCCATTTTTCACTGCTTTCCCAGGAGTGTTAGCAGGGAGATACACTGGAAGTTGGAGCAGCCAGGACTTGAATTGATGCTACAAGATGGGATGCCAACATTTCAAAAGGTAGTTTGACCCATGGCACCAAAATCATCAGCTCCAGCACTGCTGTCTTTTACAGCACCTCCATAGTAGGCCTTCGGAGTGCCATTAAGGTTCTGCTTGGGATAGCTGCACCTATACTGCGGTGTTGCGTCTGAGTCCGTTTGGCTTCAGACCCCAGGTGTCTGTGAAAGCACATCCCGTAGGCAGCAGGTGACAGATTCAAGCAGCTGTGTCCCTGACGCACAATGGAACTTTGGGCGCCAGCTGTTGTGGCGATTTGAGGAGGGAGCTAATGAAAGAAGATCTTTCTCTGCTCTTGAAATAAAACCAATAAAAAATAAAATCAAAACAAAACCTCTAGTGAGCTATGAGTTTGTCTTGGCTATTACTTGTTCTTACGGTAGGTTGAAGCTTTTAGAGCTTTAAGCTGTAGAAGGAAAAAAATTTATTTTCCATACTTCTCACTAAAGGAATACCAAATTATTTCTTTATTATTAGGACCACACATTATACTGTTATTAAAGAACTCTATACACTTCATCTCTTACAAAGAGTTCCCACTGATATCATCATCTACAATTAAAAAAAGATAAAGAAAAAATACGTACTCTAAAATCTCCAAGAACCTCATGGGAGATATGTATTTTGAAAAAAAAAAAAACCACTCAACATAGATCTCAATTTTTCCCCAAGATAAACTCTTAAGTTCATTTTTCATGAACTTTTTGGAGTACTGTTGAGTAACTATTAAAGCACTTAAAAATCCTGTAACTTATATAGTCAAAATACTGTCAAGAGTCTCTACCATAATAAGGTAGATCTTCTCCAAGAAGATGAATATTTATAAGCTGGCATAACTGAATACTGCAAGGACATACACCTTATGCGATGTCTTTAGCATTATCACAGGCATCTAAGAACTGTATTTGAAAATATTCACCTAATGATTTAAAATTTACAGTTTTAGTTTTCAACTGTTTGAGCTGGCAGTGAAACTTCAAGATACTGATTATGCCTACCTGTTACCTCAGCTTGAAAGTAATGCATCACACCCTTCCGACTACCCTGACATACCATGGTGAAATCTCAAGGTAAGGACTCTGAGAGATACTCCAGCAAATACTGCCTCAAACCAGGCACTTCTACTGAAGATGACAAAATCAGATCTTTATTTGATTCGTCAGGACTTTCTTGCTTCTTTGCAGTGCTCTTTGCCCACCACAATTAGTAGGAGCTCCAACCTCATCCTGTTGTGTTACTGTCAAAAATCTCCTTCTCTCACTTAAGGAAAAACTCTTAACATATTTTTCCCTAAAACATAATGACTGTGCTGAATTTAAGAGATCACTGGATCTATTACCCCTCATCTGACCTAGTTGCCAAGAATTTAATAGCTGTTCCTTTTTAACATTTCAGAAGACAAGTTTCCGTTTATCAGCCCCTCTGGTTTTAAAGTTTCCCTTACATCAGTAATCTCAACTCTCATTCCTGTAAAGGACATTGAAATTCACATCAAAATGTTTCTGCTGAAGTCATTACAGTCCTGTTGGCAAGACCAATCAAAAATACACGAATACTGACTGGGCTCATCCTGATTAATCTGTTCTTGGTAGAACTGCTTCAGTTTGCTTTGCAGAAACAATTTAATTCTTCAAGGAATTTGCTCATCATAATGGACACAAAACTGGTTTACTTTTGTTGTGTGACATACTTCTGACACTCTCATTAAGATAACCATTAGAATACACATTTCTAATGCAACCTATCCTGCACATCCTGGGTATCTGTTAGATTTTTGATTGTAAATCTACCATCCACTGGTTCAACTCCAGATGTGTCCCTGGGTGGCATTTGGCTGGAGGGCACTAACATAATAAATAGGTACAGGAGTCCCTCTAAATCCACAGGGATATGCTTTAGGATCTCTGGGCGGATGCCTGAAATCAAATACTGAAAAACACACACACACACACACACACACACAGACACACACACACACACACACACACACGTCTCTTCCTTCTTCCTATGAACAAGCTTATAATTTGTTACTGTAAAGAAACACAGTAGCACACTTAGAAAATTCTGTAACAGAAGTAGTAAATGTGCTCTAACTAAACCTCAAAAAGTTTCTTGAACATAAGCACATTGGCACTCTACCAAGATGGCTTCTAAGTGACTAATGGGCAGGTAGCATACATAGTGTGGATATGCTGGACAAAGAGATTATTCATTTTCCAAGTAGATGGATGAAACTGGGAGATTTCATCATGCTAATCAGAAGAGATGCAAATTAAAACTTATGAGTTGTCCATCTCTGGAATTTTCCAGTTAGTATTTTCAGTATTACTTTAAGTTTATAATTACAGGAACTGGTGGAGTTAATGACTTGATCAAACTACACAGATTAAGGGACAAAAATTAGTAGTAGCATAACTCATTTGTCTGACTTCTAGGTCTGAACTTTTACTCATGTTACACTACTTTTCTATATGGTTTGTGGTACAATTCAAGCATTTCTCCAGTGGCAGATCTTCAGACACCATATCTGGCTTAAGCCTCCATTTTCTTTAATATAACTGACTAATAACATTGGGATTTAAACATGTTTATGAGTTGAGGAAGTAAATCTTGCTAGAACCATTAGCAAAACATGCACGTCCCCTTGATATAAACATTGTCCCATTCTAGAATGAGAAGCTAACAAATGAAGGCAGTACCATGTAACCAAGGTGCACACTGCAACATATTGATGACACAATAGATGACGGAACAACAGCTTTGGACCTCCTACTTCTTAATGTTCTATGTGATAAAAGTTAATATTATTCCTTCTGCACTGGCTTAACTAAAACTAGCATTCAAGAATCTTCACAATCTGTTATGAGCCATTCCTTTTTGTCTTCTCTCCAATTTATTACTCCCCCTACTTGCAAGCATTTGTGCTCTATTTACACTATACTACACTGGATTCATTGCTTATCAAACATGCAATGCTTTCTTCTACAATTCTGGGCTTTCATACATTTCATAGAGTTGCTATTCCCTCACCTGACAATCTTCTACCCATTGTGTAAGAATCAGCTCCTATGTTGTATCTATAGAGCTTTGCTCAACCCCATACCTTAGCACTTGCACTTGTAGAAGTTCACAGTAACCATTTGCTTGCACATCTGATCTCCAATTAGACTACTCATTCCTTTACTTCAGGGCCTTTTTCTTTATGTATCACCAATATTCAACATATGGTAGGTTTTCCAATAAATATTTTAATAAAGAATCAAATACTAACTGGATTTTTTTATATATTTTTTGCACTGAGTCATAATTTGCATCTTTGCCTTTGTACCATCAGATAGTGCTGAATTTTTTCCCTCCCATACCCCCAAAGGAAACTCAGGGTGGCACCACAGTACAGTGGGTTAAGCCTCCAGCTGCAGTGCCATCATCCTATAAAGGCATTGGTTCCAGTCCTGGCTGTTCCACTTTTGATTCAGCTACCTGCTAGTGTATCTGGGAAAATGGTAGAAGTCGGCTCAAGTACTTGGGCCCGTGGACCCATGGACCCATGTGGGAGATCTGGCAGAGGGTACTGTTTTAGTCTGGCCCAGCTATGGTCATTGTGGCCATTGGGAGAGTGAACCAGTGGAAAGATCTCTCTCGTTCCTTCCCTCCCTCCTGCTCTTTCTCTGTAAATCTTTCAAATAAAAAAGTTAATCTTTGAGAAAAAAAATCCCATAGTGTCAAAAGCAAGTTTGAAAAAAAAATCCAGTTACCAAATTTAATTCTTTACATTTCCTGAGCACAAAATGCTCTATCTAGTAAGATTTTAAAACTTTCTGAATTGACTTTACAGTTTCATGAAAAACAAAGTCACTGTACCTATAGAGGAAGACTGTGGACTAATCAGAAGGTCCTCTTGGACTTGCTCACTTCCTGGCACTGTCTGCTGATCGCTCAGTGAGCTCTGAGATGCACTGACAGGCTGGGATACTTCCTCGTGAACCTCCTCGTCACTTAACCTCTCTACTTTGACCTGGACATCTTCTTCAGTACCCAAAGGCAAGGTGGCTTTTGTGCTCTCACAAGTCACATAATCAGTCATTCTTCTACCTGCCTCGGATGGGCCAGGTAATTCTAAAGTTCGGGTGTTTTCTGCCTGTTTAACTTTCTCAGGCTGAATCCTTCGATCAATTCCAAAAGGAAAAGTCCAGGGAAAAGCTAAAGAAGAGTCAACTGGTTGGTTTCTGTTTTCTGAGTAGGAAGCTGTAGAATTCAGTACCTGTGGTGAACTTGTTTGTGTGCTACACTTTACAGGACTTTCAGGAGACATAACAATATAGCTTTTGCGCTTTCTCCGGGATTCTCGGCAGACAGGAATGGCTCTTTCTACCACACTGCACTCTGAAGACACTGGAGAAATGCTTCCGTCTCGAGAAGTGAAATTGCAGTTAGAATTGTTTTCTTGTCCAGCATCTAGACCCTTTTCTGGTTGGCTATTGGGTGTATTCCATAAAATGCTTGATTTCATGAACTCAGAACAGGTACTAGCAACACTAAACATTTGCATATAGCTGGCTGCGGCTAAAACATCAATAATATTTTCTGTGTTAATTGACAGAGTGGCTGTATAAGCATATTCTAAAAGGGGTATAAAGCCAGTCACTGTGACATGATGCAGATCCAACACATTCTTGTTCTCATCCTCTGCTTGGCCCACCAGTTTGGTGCGAAAGAAATCACTGCAAGCTGCTAGTACCACCTTATGTGCCCGGAAGATTTTGTCCTGGACACGAATAGTGACATCACAAAAGTGTCCATCATTTCGCAGCATATTTAGCTTTCCAAGCATTTCCTGGCTGTGGGAAGAGGAACTATGAGTAAATGTTTTCACACCCATCTTTTCCTTCCTCTTCTACAGATGCTCTTCAAGGATGCAAATGAATCAGAAATGTCCTAAAAAATACATAAAATAAAGCATTAATTGACATTTTCATAGCTAAAGCAGGTGATTTTATTTTATATTGTTTCTATACAGCTACTGTGCTGAACAAAAAAGCTAAGTAGTAAAAGAGAAATTTTAAATTAGTAAATATATTACAATGTATTCCTCCTACCCACCATAGAAAACGGTCTAAACTCTCCAGTCAGTATTACCAGTGAGCTAGGGTTGTAATAAGCTGTAGAATTTTAAATGAGAGTTTATATAACAGTGCTTTAAAGTGTCAGGCATATTCTCAATGACTCACATTTGAATGTGCTGATCTTCATGATTATCTGTTAGTGGGTACAACGTTACCCATCTCTACATGTAAGCATCCACTGGGCAATGCCAGTTTCCACAATCAAACATTCCGCTATATAACCATCCCCCCTGAATGTTCTATGTGGGGAAATGTAAGGGAGGAGGAAAAAAAAAACCCCAAGATCTCAAGATGGCTTAAAAAAGGATAGCTCAATATCCTGATGAGAGGCCCAGCGAGAAAGCTAAGACAGTCTCTTGTCTGATATCACAATTGAAAGGATAAAGGCATTAAAAAAAATCTCGTGCCAAGTCAGCCAGGTAAAAGGTCACTCAAGTTTATATCTTGACTATAATCACTGATAACACTTAAAATATAAACCTGTTCCACAAGCTCTTCCAAAGAAAAGTACTTACAATGAAACATGGTGCAGCTAAGATTGATCTAAGCAAACCATCATTACTGTATCTGTTGAGTTCTCTCACAGGAATGACAGGGAGAAGGCAATGGGAGGGCCATATACCGTGTTTGGTTGTTTGCTGCAACCTAGGAAACTGACATCTATTTTTAAAGCCTGGCTATACCCCCTGTGTATTGTGATTGGGGTCACATGGTTGAGGGAGGAAACTACCTTCAGAGCAATTCACACAGCCAGAGTTCAGGCACCATGTATATGCACGAGTATGGAGACAAAAAATAATCATGTTCAGAGAACATGTGCAATAAGATATTAAAACGGAACTATGTTTGCATGGAGTACCCAAACACATATTATATTTCCAAATGAAGTGCCAAGGCCACCATGGAAGGGAATAGTGGCAAATTATTTTTACAACGTCGTGTCACATCAATCTTGAATTCAACATTCAAAAGATTAAATGTATTTTTGCTAAGCATTATCAGTGTTTTATGGGTTCCTAATTTTACTTCACTCCCTGCATTTGCCCTGCAAAGCATCAGCAAATTTGTCCTTTGTCTCACAACTATGGAAAACTATGATGTGTCTGACCAGAAAACACCCTGTTTCCAACAGTACACAAAAAGCACACACAATGTAATTCAGAGCGCTGGCTTTGTAGCATGATGCTAGGTTTGCATCCGGCTCCTGCTGTTTACAGCTCTGTGACCTTAGGCAAATCCTGTAATAATCTGTATTCTAGTTTCCTCCTCAATAAATAAAACGGGATCCTAGAACCTGTCTTTTAAGAGTTCTCAGGTTAAAGGACTTCAAATGATGTACTTATCAGTAAAGGACCTTTTCTACTTTACCTTGTACCACTCCTATTCATGAAATGATCAAAAATCACATTTAGAAAAAGGGAAAGGGCAGTAAAAGTGTGAAGTGTAGGAAAACAGAAAGAAATAAAAAGGAAGGGGTGCAGGCACTGTGGTGTATCAAGCTGAGCCTCTGTCTGTGGCACCAGCATCCCATAACGGCACTAGGAAAGCAGTGCAGGAGTCCTTGGGCCTCTGCATCCACATGGGTCTCTGGAGGAAGCTACCAGCTCCAGGTTTTGGATTGGTGCAGCTCTGGTCACTGTAGCCATTTTAGACAGAATCAGCACATGGAAAAATCTCTCTGTCTCTCCTCTCTGTTACTCTGGCATTCAAATAAACACAAATCTTAAAAGAAGCAAACCAAACCTTTCTATTTCACACAGAAGCCTGAGGTGGCAAAACAGAAGAAATTTTAACTTTGAATTATGAATTATATTAGATGGACAATGGAAGACAAAAATGTCATGAATACCTCCTACGCAATCATGTCTGCTGAAACCAGCAATGGCATACCTATGGCACACAGCCTGGCATAGCTGAAGGAATGAGAGGAGGGTTAGACCGGAAACCCTTTCTATGCCATGTATTTACGACATGCATTTCCCAACACATGTTTATGGAGACTCTGAGATTTTATAATTAAAAATTACATTACAAATGTATTTTGAAAATATTGAAATATCATATACTGAGGCAGAACTTGAACACAGAAAAATTACTTACACATAATATGGACAGTGCAGGATTAAGAAAGCATAATCTAAAATTTTGCTATTAAAATCTCATTTCTCAGCGTGTACATGGATACACACACATACATACACATCCCCCCCCCCACATATATATAATAACAAGACATTTTTGGAGATCATTTAAAATTCTTGAGCAAAGATAACTGGGATCAATATTGTGTAACAGTGGGCAAAGCCAGCACCTATGATACTGGCATCCCACCTGGGTGCCGGTTCAAAATCCAACTGTTGCCTTCCCAGTCTAGCTCCCTGCTAACATGCCTGGGAACTGTAGAAGCTGGCCCTGTGCTTGTGTTTCTGAACCCATGTGTGAGAACAGGGCAGACCCAGGCTCTTAGTGTCAGCTTGGCACAGCACGGACACTGTAACCATCCAGGGACTGAACTCATACATGAAGCTCAATTTCTGGCTTTTGAATAAATTAAAATCAAATTCAAAAGAGATAACAATTGTACTTGTTTAAATGAAGGCAACACACACAGAAAAATGTATTTGCGTGGCAGTTTTTGATTTGAAGAAATGGTTTATTTCCCATCCTTTTATTTTAAGTTACTGATAAAATACTATACATGCATGCTTAAAAAAGTGGTGGTTGCTGAACACATACTTAAAAAAAAATTTTTGGGCCCAACGCAGTGGCCTAGCAGCAAAAATTCTAATCTTGCATGCGTCGGGATCATATATGGATGCTGGTTCTAATCCTGGAGCCTGACTTCCCATCCAGCTCCCTGCCTGTGGCTTGGGAAAGCAGTCGAGGACGGCCCAAAGCCTTGGGACCCTGCACCTGTGTGGGAGACCTGGAGCAAGTTCCTGGCTCCTGGCTTCAGATCGGCATAGCACCGGCTGCTGTGGCCACTTGGGGAGTGAATCATCGGAAGGAAGATCTTCCTCTCTGTCTCTCCTCCTCTTTGTATATCTGACTTTGCAATAAAAATAGTCTTTAAAAAAAATTGTTTTTAACTTGAAAGAGTTAGAGGGAGGGTGAAAGAGCTCTTCTACCTGCTGGTTCACTCTCAAATGCCTACAACAGCCTGAGATGGGCCAGTAGCTTCATTCAGTTCTCCCACACAGATGCAGAAATCCAAAGTGTTGTGCCATCCTCTGCTGCACTCCCAGGGACCCAGGTTGCGAGTGGAGCAGCGAGACCAGAACTGGAATCATATGGGATGCCTGTGTAAGCACAGGATTAGTCTGCTCCAAAACAATATAAAGTGTGTATGTGTATGTGCACGTATAATCACAGGAAAAATGTCCTATGATTTGATTTATAGTTGGGCTGAGAAACCTGCCAAAAAGATAATAGAATTTAATTAGTAAAAGTAAGATAAAGCTTACGCTTTAAATTGTGAAGTCTCCAGTTTAAGTCAGACATTAAAACTTAGCAAATTACACTGGTTTGTGTTCTGGTGGCCCTGTTTCCCATCCAGCTCCCTGCTTGTGGCCTGGGAAAACAGCCGAGTCAAGGACAGCCCAAACAAAGCCCTGGAACCCTGCACCCACGTGGGAGACCTGGAAGAAGCTCCTGGCTTCAGACTGGCACAGATTCATCAGTTGTGGCCACTGGGGAGTGAATCAACAGACAGAAGATCTTCCTCTCCGTGTATGTGACTTCTGAACAAAAATAAATAAATCTTTAAAAATAAATACATCTTAAAAAAAGAAACTTAGCCAATTTAACAGAAAGGAGTGGGCCCCTCACATTCCCTCTGGAACATTTCTCCTATCCACCCACTGTCAATCTACACCATGATCCTCTCCACCCTAATCAGAGGCTTACAAAGGCAAACACCTCTGTCAACAATATTTTAAAAATAAGTAAAAAATTAACAAAAACTAAGATATTTCATCTCTCTCGTGCTTCAGTTTTATCTGTAGAACAAGAATCATGCAAATTACACTTCCAAGATTGTCAAAGAATGAACTTCACCCAATTCCTGCCAAAGTATCCAATAAATAGTTTATTCACACTGGAAATGTGAAATGAACACATTTCAAAATGTATATGTATGACTTAGCACATTTAATAACACTGTGTTTATAAAGATGAATTAATAGAACCCAGTACAATAGCCTAGCAGCTAAAGTTCTCGCCTTGCACGTGCCTGAATCCCATATGGCACTGGTTCTAATCCCAGACACCCTGCTTCACATCCAGATCCCTGCTTGTGGCCTGGGAAAGCACTAGAGGATGGCCCAAAGCCTTGGGACCCTGCACCCATGTGTGAGATCTGGAAGAGGTTCCGTTCTTCTGGGTTCGGATCTGTGCGATTCCAGCTGCTGTGGCCATTTTGGGAGTGAATCAATGGATGAAGATCTTCCTTTCTGTCTCTCCTCTCCCTGTATATCTGACTTTCCAATAAATAAATAAATCTTAAAAAAAAATTAAAAAGATGAGTTGGTAGGTAGGTGTTTGGCCTAGCAATTTAAAAGCCTAAGTTCTACAACTGAGCAGCCTGGGTTTGATTCCTGCCCTGGCTTCTGATTTGAGCTTGTTGCCAGTGTAGACCCTCAGAGGCAGCAGTGACGGTTTGGTTCAAGTAGTTGAACTGACCAGGGCAGGGTGGAGAGACACACAGATTGTGCTCTCAGCAGCCATCTTGGATGCCAGCACAAACCCAAACTTTACAGACATTTGGGGAATGAAGCAGTGGATGGGAACATATTCTGTGTCTCTCTCATATCA